CTGAAATGTTAGGAATTTTAGACTTTGAAGATTAGGCTGAAATGTTAGGAATTTTAGACTACAGTCGAATCCAGTTAATTAGACCAGCCGCTTTCTCGGACCAAATCCTAAAGAACCGAAACAAATCCTATGTACATAAGCCTAATATTATTCGCTTATTTGGACCAAAATTCTGTTTAATCGGACCAAAAAACGTGAGAGCGAATAAGAAACGGAAGCCACAGCAAATGTACAGGTGGTCTGCAACATATGGGAGGATCTGTAATTGTGGCTTCCCAGGAAAATACTTTATCAAAAGGTCAGGAATTCCTTAAAGTGCATGACAAAAGCAAAACCGGTGGGAGGTGAACACGTGCACCATTTTCTTTGACCTGCGCCTCCAAGTTTCGAGGAAATTAACAATAGAGCGTCCGGCTCCACCTGAAAGGAATTCCCAGCTGTCAATCATGATTAAAGTTTACACTAGAAAGCTATCATTTCATAAACTTTTTGGGACGATTTTAGTGCCAAAGCTTTGAATGGCGAGCATTTTATCTTCCTCTTGACCTCAACATCTTGAACCCTAAACACCAAAGTTTCTTCAGACCACTTTAATCAGTGAACTGTGTGCCAAAATGCCACGACGGGACTTGAGGTTAGGCGAAAAAATTGGTTTCCTGAACAAGATTGAGCAACAGCCACGAAACAATTGTCAGCGTCGGTTGGTGAAAATAACCGTATTGGCAAAGACTACAATTTTGTGCTTGATAAAACAAGAAGAATGAGCTGCAAGAAGAATGGGCACAATGTGAAGGACGAGGAGGAACTTACAAAATTCGGAAGAGTGAAGGTAAGGACCCAGGTGTCGATGAGGCACTTAACGAATGATTTGCCATTGTTACTTGACGATCTGTGAGAGTAAGGGGCCCAATTCCCAATTTTAAAATGCAAAGAAGAAGAATTCACGCTGAAAAGCTGAACCACGATGACTTTAAAAAAAAAACAAAATTAAAAACTACAAACGGTTCGTTGTCTTGATGGAAATCTAGACATGACATAAAACTCAAGAAACTGCTGATAGTGCAAATGCTGAAGAATGGAAATCAACAAAACTGCCCGAGCTTCTTGAAAGCTTCAGCAGATGACATCTACATTGCTGATAAGATTAGGCTGTATTATTAAGCTACACCAGATGGTTTGTTAAGTTACAAACATGTTGCACTATTTGGCTTCAAAAAAGCGATAGATCACGTAACTGCCTTGTAGTGCTCAAACATGTCAGGAATGGACAAGAGGAAGCTGTTGGTTATAGGAAAAAGCACTAAGCCTCGCTGGTTTAAAGGACTTAGGATGGAGAGTTTACCAGTTGTATATCATGCGGGCAGAAATGTGTGGATGACCTCTGAACTTTTTAAAAAATGGCTGAAGGATTGAGACAGAGAGCTACAACATCAGTTAAGAAAAGTGCTGTTTCTTCTTGACAATTGTGCAGTACATCCTCATTTAGATTGCTTGATGAGCGTACAACTGGAATTTCTACCTCCCAGGACCACAGCTTTGGTCCAGCCAATGGATAGGAATCAAAAAATTTGAAGACCCTTTATTGTGCAAGGTTAGTTAATTCATCCTTGAAGCAATTGAAGAAAGTTTGCTGACCTCATCATCAAAAGCCAGTGCAAAGATCAACATCTTACAAGCAGTTACATTTGTGGCCGACAGCTGGCGAAAAGTCAGCAGTTAGAGAATTCAGATTTGTTTTTCTCAGTGTGGCTTTAAGCACTTGTTTTGGACATGAAAGTGATTATGATTCTGCTAATAAGTTGGTACAAGTGATAACACAGGATGAGAGGAAATGCATTGAAACTTTGCATTAATATTTCCTGCAGGAAGGAAATGAAGACAGTCCCATTGCTGTTTACGGCGATTTTGTTCACGTGCAATCCGTCAAGAGAATGCATCAAATTCCATTAGATAAGTTCTTCAAATGTTGAATGGAACTTGGTAAGAAATTGTTTTTATTGTGCTTCGCATGTTGAGTATCATGGAGATTGTTTCTAAATTAATTTTCTCAATGAAAAAAATTTTGACTGCATTTCTTGTTTGTATATGACGTGTGTACTGCACAATAAAGTTCATAATTACATTTAGTACATGATTTACATGTGCATTTACTGTTTGCTACATATAGCACGTCCCATCTTACAACGTAGGACATGTTCATGCAATCGAAACAGCCAGTTATTAGGACCAAAATGATCACTTCTCGATGTGGTCCGATTAACCAGAATCGACTGCATCTATATAAACAATATTGTGTTCAGCACAGTAAGATGATTTTATGTTAGCAACATCCAATTATTCATAATTTACCAATTAAACTAGACAACACAGTGCCACAAATTTCATGCATACAACATTCACCACACCCTGCAGTTAAGTATGAATGAATTACCTCCAAATACAAGGCACTAGTATGTCTAATGTTTTTCTAAAATATCTACATGCTTACCAATATAACAAAGCCATTTCATATTTTAAAAGAAATTAAGATTTTGTAAAAAGCTTTCATTTAAAACTCAAAATATTATACTAAAAGCAAATAATTTTTTATAGCTTAATGGCAGCATGAAATTATATAATTCTCTTTATAAGATTCATCAATTTTTTTTTTTATTATGAACAATAAAACCATGAGCCACCTTAGATAAATTTATAAAGATAATGGCTTATACTTTGGACAATACAATTTATCAGATTTCATTGCGTGGCGTCCATGTTATTATTCACAATATAAAACTGTAGATGAATTTCTGAAAGAGAATTATAAAATTTCTTGCTCCAATTAAAACTATCATATTTTACTTTTAGCTAAGAGCTTTGCCCACTCATCTTTTTAGTTTCAATAACCTATTATCAATCAATTAGCAAGCTGAAAAATCTTTTCTCAGCAATAAACAATCATTCTATCTTCCCACAATTGTTTCTATCAAACTGTAAGCAAAAATACTACAATTAACATTAAAACCTCACATAAGCCTGCATTCTTTCCCCACTTAATCTAATGGCACAAACAGTAAAATTCAGAGATCCTTAGATTGATTGTTAAACAGAAATTTGTCTGAAAAATTAATGCAAAGAGTACTATATTTTTTGCCACTTCAAGATCAATGTTGCTAACATTACTCCAAATACAAGTTTTCTATTAGTTTCTTCAGATCAATTTTTGCACTTTTTCAAATGGTTAAATCTCTCAATGAGTTTAAATCCATTCTTTAATTTAGAAATTATGGGCATGGTTTAACTATAAACCACTCTCACCTCAATTAACTGGGGTTGTTGATTTATAGCTTTTGTTGACTTATTCAAGGAAAAAATTCATCACTCAATGGAATTTAATGCCAAAATAACCTCGAAAATGTTTTCCAAATGAAAGAACCGACAGTCCCTTTCTGCTTCACAGCATATCTTAAAAAATGTCACCTTATATTAAAAGGGGGCATTTTATAATCTGAAAATTTCAAAACTTTACAACTAATACAAAAATGTTAAAGCTTTAAAATACTCGTAAGAAAACTAATTCCAGTAAAATACTAGCAGAAAACTGAAAATTAAATAAAAAATTTAATTTAATATTTTCTGCTTTAGCTAATGGTACAAACAATGAAATTTTACGATTTTTAGTTCATTTGTTAAAGATATGTGTAAAACATTGTTTTAACATTAAATTAAAAAACAATAAAATTTTGAAATGAGCAATTCCCTACATTGCATTGAGTACGCAAAACATGAGCTCAACCCGATGACGTAGTAGTCTAAAAATCAATGAAACTTGACCACAGAAACGACCACGACGAACTGAACTAACCAAAAGCCCTTAAAAATTAACAAGTTTTATATTTACAGTATAATTAAGAACTTGAATGTAATCAAAATTTATTAATTAAGGAGTTAACTGCACTGGAAAATACTCAATTCATTAAATACGAAACCTTTGAAGCTCAGATAATTATGCAGACAAAATTTTAAGCTTTCAGAATCCTTAACCATCGGAGGAAAAATTGATTCCCGTTTCTCTTAATTTTCACACTTAAACTGAAAAAATTAAAAATTTATAACATGATGACTACTACAAATAAAAATACACTATTAGTCTACAAATAAATATTATCACTAGCAGTCGGAAAGCTGAATTGATTACAACAAATCTATTTTCATTAAAAATAGAATTAGTGCTATCAGTTGGTATAAAGCGACTTATTGTAATCACATTTTTCTTTAGGAAGACAGGATCATTATGAGAATCACTTTTATTAAAAAGTGTAAAATTTCAATAAATAATGGCCGATTACCTCTTTGTCAAACACACTTAAATTTTCCATCACTTTATTGATTTCAAATTTTCAACATTTTGGGATTAATACTTATTTGTTATATTAATACGTAGCTATGAATTTAAGTATTCACTTTCAAACTAAATGAAACTTATTCTATACGTAATTAATTCCACTTAAATCGTAACATTATACAAGATTATGCAAGTTCAATTATTAAAAGTAACCTTTTAAAAGTGTCTTTTCAAGATATTAAAATTTTTGGCAACTAAAGTATCAAATCCTCCAAATATTTCAAAGGCACAACAAAATGATGAAAACTGGTTATTTTCCCCATCCAATAATGCAATATAATAAAATCCATTACATAAATAGAATTCCCCCCCACACACACTTAAATTGCCAGGCACATGCAAACTGAACATGCACATAGAAATCTGATATCCTTCTGCTTTAGTTTTGAATCACAAACAGAAACACTTAGCCCCTATAATCTAAAGTAGCATCTTCCAGAACTTTCTTACTCAAAAAAGGGGATTTTTTTTCTAAACAATATTTCAAATTCATTACTTCATAATTTTATCTGGGATATCATTAAGCACAAAAATAAAAGATGAATAAAAATTTACCCTTCTATGAACTAACACTTCCTTTGATTTTTTAAAAACACTGTAATGAAGAACAATTAAGTTAATACAAAAAATTAATATAAATTTATTATATTCCTTTACTTAACATTAAGCATTTAAATTATTGGAACATATAACAGGAACACAGAATTACACTTTCCATCTTCTGCATAATAATGATATAGGTAAAAATTAAAACTTTACACATTAAAGGTTTATTTAACAAAAAGCCATTAAATGCTGAAATTGATAGCATGAATATGGCTAATTTTAAAATACGTAAAACGTATTTGATCAGTATTGGATTTTTAAATGCTTACGGGATGTTGACATGAAAATATACTAATTTAAAAGTTACTCAAATTCACATCAAAATTGTAACTTACACACATCTACATTAAACTGAAATGCCATGAAGTATTTGTACAGGAGGGAGAATCAATATTTTCTAGTAAGTCAATATTACATAAAATCAGTGATGAAATTTACGACTACTATAAAGAAATTTATTCATTAAAAATAAAAATTCAAGCTAAAAAATTTAAAACTTCTACTGTGCACACAAAAGCTTTTAATAAATTTTAATATTCATTTACAATAAAAAGTTATGACTGTAGTTTATATATGCTACAGAAGGCAGTATATTTTCACTTGAAAATATCAAACAAATCTTTACAATTTTTGAAGTTTTTGGACTTATATGCACTTTTAAATTTCAATACTGAGTTTTATGATCACAAACTGGACAACAATTTAAAAAATTTGCAAGTCCCCATGGTTACCATAAGAATTCCTCATATAATTTGAAAACTAGAAATGTTTCTGTAGACCAGTACAAAACATTATATTGTTTTTACAAATATCCGAGATAACCATGAGGAATACATGAAAAACTGCTATGGTAAAAATCAGTTCTCAAAACCAAATATATCTACATTTCTTAAAAATTCTTCAATCAGAATTTTTATTAAATACCAATTGTCTTCCCGGGAAGAGTTACCAACAGCTAGTTTCTATTTAACTTCATAACATGTACATTATACAAACAGCTAAGAGTGAAGCATACATATACACACATCAGGGTTGGAATGATAAAACTAAAATTAACATAAAAACCCATGCTCGCATGGCTTTTGAGATTAATTTAATATACTATCTGTGTAATAAACTAATACAATGCAAGATGTTTCACATCCAGTTTTTATGAACTATATGCATAAATAAAGATTAATAATTAAAACTCGTATACAGTGGCTAAAACAAACATGTAAATAATCACAAAAGAATTTTACATATCTTGGCAAAATGTCAAATTTTAATGTTTTCAGTATTTTACAACTGACAGAATGAAAAATCTAAAATTTTTTCCTTTCTCTTATATTTTTTAAAGTTGAAAAGAAGCTGTGGATATAGCAGAAATAAGTGCAACAATGGTATCTACTTAACAAAATCTTTTGTCCAGGCAGATATTTTATGTATCTTCCTCCAGTGAACTGAAGCCAAAGTGCCTGAATTTCACCAACTGTTGAAAATGAATAGAAGCCACTGAATTTATGGATATATTAAAACCCTTAACAACAACCACCACTAGGCGCTTTTACAGGTGTACTTGGATTTATCTTCTCGCCTTGCCGCGATGCATCAGCTGCAGATGTCGGTGGTCCCATTCTCCTCTTAATCTCTGCTGCCATAGTCATAAAGGCTTGTTCAACATTAGTTGCATTCTTAGCACTGGTTTCCAGAAATGGTATTCCCAACTGATCAGCAAACTCCTTAAAAAAATTATAAAATGAAATTAAAATACACTCCTGCACCACACATTTTATTATATTTTACAATGACAAACACTTTCAATATTTCTTTCATAACTAGAATTTTTTTAATTAAAAAAGGTAAGTATATCTGCATATTAGAGTCTTAAATAACAAACAGATTTCCTATTATTTTCAGTTAAAAATTTTATGGTTAATTTACAGTCAAAAGTCTTTAATCCGGACCTCAAAGATACAAACTTTCTGCGCATGCGTTAGTTAACACATGCTCGTTTAATGTATAACGGACAGTATAAGCTACACTAAAATTATCTAATTATCTATTTCAGTTAATGTTGCAGATTGTGTTGTTCCTTAATCTTCTAATTAGATCCAGCTTATTATTTCTTGCAGACTGTTAGAGGAATTTTTATAAAAGTAAGCTTGAACTTCCGATTATGTCAAAAAGAATTTACGATTCTGGAGCTGCCACAGGATCTACATAGCGAAGGCATGTTTCGATGTCCATCAAACAAAAAGTGAAATTGCTGCAAAAAATGTATAAAGACATCCTTTACTTGTCTAACAATTCTGAAATTATCAATTTTGCGCTGCTCTGGGGGGGGCGTCGCGGCTCGCAATGAATTGGAAGTTTATCTGTCAGCACTATCCTTATCTTCAGAGCAGATATTTTAATTTTATTCGGCTTATAATACCTTACTAAATGTAGTATTTCATCTCCATGTACTCTGTCTGATACGATTTAAATCAATTTCCTCATCATTATAAATATCACGAATACACATCAAGTAGTTTTCTAGTTGCAATTTTCTAATTCGACTATGCATAATGTATGCTTTACGCATGCGCATGTTGAAGAATGTTTAATAAGTAAACAAATAAAATATAAGCTTTTTTTTCATAAATTTTGATACCCTTTAGATCATAACTGCTTTTTATTTCATAAATTACGGTTTCATATTTTTAATTTCATAATTTCTGCATGCCATCTTTCCAGATTTAAACTGATGATCTATAATCTGGAACCACCGAAGTCCTGACGAGTCCGGATTAAAGACTTTTGACTGTATATGCAAAAAACTATCAATATTTGTTAATCATGATTCTTAAATTAATTAATCTTGACAGTAAAATTCAGATAGGTATAAGATTTTTTAAGAACAAAATAAATCAAATTTCAAAATTTAAAGCCAAAAGTTTCTGAATTAGAATGTTTATCATGAAACTAGTAAATTAGAGACTACCTTGAATAATCATTCTACTACTGTATTTATTTAGTACTGTTATCCAAAGACTACTTAAATTTGTTTAAATATTATATATAGGCTAGCACTAAAAAAAGTACTTCAAAGTAAAATAAAAGTTCACTGTAAAACTATTCTGGAATATTTCACAAGCAACTCGTTTACACAACCACAGAAGTTAGCCACATGCCCTGTCTGTCCACAATTGCAGCACTTCACAACATCAAGCCTCTTTGCAAAAACATTTTTGTTTTGCATTAGCCTGTGCACTTTACACAGTGGGATTTGAGTTTGCAAAGTTCTGAAGAGCAACTGAAGTGCTTTCATTTAAAAAGCACATCTACAAATTAGCTACCAATATCTGCATTTTATACACAGTACCCGGTAACCACAGAGAAAAGTTGCACTTATGTGGCAGTTACGAAAAATGATGAAGACCCCTCTATTGGAATGTGTTATAAGCTTTAGAGAACACTTTTGTGGTTATTTGTATTGCAAGAGCGATAATCTACAGATTGGCATTATGTACACAGATTAAAAAAGAAAAAGAACAAATGAATATTAGCATTAACTTGCTTCAGAATTTGACGCATCAGCATGTCATGCATTCATTTAGGCAGAGATGCACGACATTCTGATACGTCATTGAAACCGAGACAGGATTTAGCTATTTATTCTGGTTTATTTCAAAGTAATGTGTATCTGTTGCAACAGAACAAATAATTTCAGTAGTTTGGTGAACCTTGTTTGGGGTACACAACCTCATTATGACAGAAATAGAGAATGTATTTTATCAAAGTAATAACAACAGTTTTAATGAAAGTAGTGATCTTGAATCTCATTTAAAATTTTATAATGATCCTTGATTGATGTTCAATCAATCAAGAACCCACTCGATCCACATCCCTTGAATCCACTTGATTTGATTCCACATACTTTTTATTTAGGAAAACTGTTTTACATCAGGTAATTTTCTTTTTCTACCCAAATCCATTCATTTAATTTTTTTACGAGAAGATTCACTATCACTGCTTCATGAAAGTCTTGGAATAATTTCACCATCATTATCACTTTCTAGTTCGATATATTCTTTGTAATTTTTTCATTCTTCTTTATTGCTTAAAGGATCATAAAATTGTTCACCAGATTCAAGATCACTACTTAAAATTGCTATCACTTTTAAAAACATATTCTCTATTTCTGTCATTATGAGGTTGTATATCCCAAGCAAAGTTCACCAAACTGCTGAAATTATTTGTGCTGTTGTAATAGGTACACATACTTTGACATAAACCAGAATCTGTCTCAGTTTCAACGACGTATCAGAACATCATGTATATCTGTTTAAATAAATGCTTGCCATACTAAGGATTAAAAATGAAAAGGAATAATTATTAGCATTAACAATTTAGAATTCGAATTTCTCTCACTAAAATGTTTGATTTCACAACTGTTAGTTAAGAAAACGACTCTTCACTATGATTACCGCGGATTTCGTATATTACCCAAGACTAACTATATCTTCAAATAATTATATCAATTTGTTATTTCTTCCAAAATTCGCAAACAATTTTTAGAGGATGAGCCATTTTTGATGTACAGAATGATTTAGAATTGTTATTAAGTTATGACCAAACAAGTAGAACGAAAATAATTACTTTGGCTGTAACATAGTCTACTACTTTCTTTGGTGTCATATCACATTTGTTTCCAACTAGAAGTCTATTTACATTTTCTGAGGCATAACGATCAATTTCCTGGAGCCACTGTTTTACGTTATTAAAAGATTCCTAAAAGAAAAGAAGACTTTTATAAGATAAAGGCTACATTAGAACTTGCAACACTATACATGTAAATTCATATTTTTTTCAACATATTTATGCATATTCTTAAATATCTCAGCACTATATTCCACTAGTGCTATTTGCAACATTCTGAAAATTAACACAGAAAAGTTTTAATGTTTCAGAATGAGATGTTGCTCAAAAGATGGCTAAGTAACTTATGTGTTGTTCTATTAAAACTTTAGGTAATTGAGGTAATGATTTATATATACAAGTTTTGATTAAATACAATTTGATTATAATAAGAAAGGGTAATCAGTTAATAGCACCCATTTCTAAAATTGCTTTTGTAACTGTAATGAAAATATTTAAAAATTCACATTAATTCTTTAAACAAGAATAAAATTAGCCTTTTTATTTAAATTGCACAAAAAATTTAGATAATTACAAAATTTGAGATCATGTTTTTTGATAACTTAGCCAACACAAACTGAACAATATTTACATTTAAATATAACTGAAAATGAGAGATCAGCTTAGCATAACTTTTCTGATGTTAAGAGATTAAACTAACAAGAATTAATATACAGAACATTGTGAAAAGGTTTGATCAATACAACCTTTTTCAAACAGAACTTATTGGCATAATCTTATAAAATTCATATTCTAAAAAATAATGACATGCTTTAAGTAAATTCATAGCATTTGCAGAAATGAAAAATAAAAAATACTCCTAATCCAAAGAATAACTTGGATGACAGATTATGAAAATGCTTTCAGCATACTAAATTTAATAAAAATAAATTAAAGAATGCTGCAAACTGGTATATCTCAAAAAGATAATACTGAATGAGATTAAATGCAGGGAGGGGGAATCTGCTTCTTTCACCCTTATTTTTTTACTCCTTCCCAGATTCGGGTAAATCTTAAAAAATACTAAACTTTTAACACTGGACTTTTGAGAGGAAATCAAATGAATTTTTTAAAAGTTAAAATTTTTATTAAATCTAATTGATAATCTGTATAATTAATCTATAATGATCAACACTGGGAAATGGTTGCGAAAATAAAAATTGCATCGACTTAAGGACACGATTTGTATATGTGAATGTCCACAATTTAATATGCAAAATTATGTATATTCTAAATTGGAATGAGTATTTGGATTCCAACAACGTATACCATGATTAACTGCCACAGGTACGAATGTTGTCACAGAGGACTTAACCCTTTCAGGACGGGCGTCCCATACACGCATTCCCTAAGAACGTCTCTTACAGCCGGGCGTCCCATCGACGCATCAGTAAAGATCGCATTCAGAGGACGGGTGATGCGTATACCCATTTTAAGGTGGAACGATTTTCTGAAGGCCTACTAGATGGCATCCTGTGTCCATTACTTTTGAAATGAACACAGTTTTAGGTTCCTTGAGTTTGCATTCTGCCTGACTTCGATATTTTACTCATCAAAATGCTGCGAGGTGGGGTGGAGGGAAAGCATAATGTAAACTGATCTGGGCTCTCAATCACCATGTGCTAATATAAATATTTGTGTGGTTGATTTATAACCAATTCCTTCTTTTATTCTATTTTTTTCTCTACTATGTACAGTCTTTTAGGGTTATTGTGCAGAGTTTTTTTACGTTTTGCATTGCCTTCAGATATACTATTTCCATTCCTTTTTTTTTATTTAGGAAAGCCTCACGTCCAGTCTATTATGGCGGGAAGGCACTATTTAACAGAGGAAGAATACCTTCGTATGGTTAGTGAACCATTTACTAACGCAAATGAGAATACCGATTCATTTTCTAAAGTATTAAAAAGTGATACTTTTTCTAAGAGTTACAAAGTGATACTTCTCTGTGCTTCGAGATTCACCACATTCGTTTTCATTTTAAATTTTGTTACTTCTTACTGTAAATAGTCTTTTTTGTGTTCCTTTTATTAATTTTAAACTTTATTGATGGATTTTATCAATTAAAACTTTGGAATAATTTGAATAGCACTTCCAAAAATTATTTTAGAAGATAAGCAATTTTTTAAGTATATTTTCATGTAAAATAAAGAAAAATGTTTAAGGGCTAATTTTAACATATATAAGAGCTCAAGTAACAATCTAAAATGATACCAAAAATTACGATGCTAGAAGCGAAACTTTTGTTTTTCTGATTTTTATTATAAAATTAAGCTTAGCGATGCAAAACCTCCATCCTGTACGGTGACTGCCTTCGATTCTCTTTCGTCCCACACGAGCATCTTAAACAAAAGTTAACAAAACCTTGCCCAAATTTATATCACTTACAGAAAACCAAAAATACTTCATGCAGTCATTTGGGTTCACAGACTTAAAAAGATATTTTACAGCTTCAGCCACTTGGTTACTAGATGATATAAATCATTTAAAATTAACTCTCGAGTAAACATTCTTTCAAAGCAAAGAGAAAAACCATGCAAAAATCTGGCCAAAAGAAACAGGTTTCTTTCATGAGAAAGAAATGGAAAAAAATTATTTTGTATTTATATTACTACTTTTCTATATAATTTAACTTAGCCTGATCTTGAAATTTCAGATATTTGAAGGTATGCACTCAAGATTGTGATGATTTAAAACAGCAGAGCTCTAACAATTATGATTATAGCAAAAACATTTAGAAATTTTTGAATGGCAACATCCACTTTTTACCCTGTGCAAATTGAAAAGCATTGCAAAATAGCACACTGAAAAACCATAAATGGCATTGGTAATTTTAGTCATACCGTATTACCACTGCAAAACATTTGGGAGGGAAAGAGCTTTGTGAAGGACCAATGACAACACAGAGAGGAAGTGCATTTATTATATTTCACAGGAATAGAGAGTAGAAGTGTTTGTTCACTGAGCTGATGAAAATCTTTAAGATGTGACAGCAGCGGCTTTACACTAAGCTAAAGTGACTATGTGATGCAGTACTGCAAGTACATTTGTTCTCGATCCAAACTTCTTCGAAGAAGTCACTTCTATATGAAAACTTGTTCAGGGTTAGTAGCTACATTTTAGTTAAAAAATAAGCACATATAAGCACTTTTCAAGCACATTTTAAGAAAAAAATAAGCACCTAATTACATTATACAAAACTGCAGAACCTCAAAAGAAAAATTAGACTTGTGATTTATAATATGAGAAATTCAGTATTTATTAAGAGAGAATAAGCATTACTCAACCATGGAAAACAATTACATTTTAAAAAATTTTAAATAACAGTTCAATTTATAGCCCTATAAGGGCCTTTATATTTTATTTTCAAATATAAGGACTTATAAGCACTGCTACAAACCCCATTGCTGTATCACAAGCACTTAATATATAACAATGCTGCCGAATTATGCAATTTCAGAAATAGAGCAACAAAATGTTGTTAATGTCATTATATGAATGCCAGATGGTGATCCATCGCACATGTTCAGAAAGTGCTGCAATAGCACTGAGATAAAGTCATCTCTGAACATTTGCAGTTTTGTGGCCACAACGATTCCCGACCTCACTTCACAGGATTTCTGGTTCTGAATTTAACCCTCCGAGCAGCCAGGATATTTGCTTGGAAAGCACAAATTTCCCAAAACTACTATTAGAACATTTTTTTTTTTTTTTTTTTTAAATTTTAATGTAAAAACTCTCCTGGTATTTCATATTTTAGGATTTCAGGACAAAAAGATAATCATAATATTCAGACTAAAAGTGCAAAATAAGACGTATTAGGTGCATTTAATTAAATTATTATATACATTATTGCAATAACTTATTATATGCATTAAATTATTATTACATATATAAATTGATTATATTATTCATTGTATTATATATAATACAAATATATATATACACACACACACAGCATCGAGATTCGCAGATTTCGCCTTGTGCAAAGATTTCCAGTGTTAGAATCACTGTTGCTGTAAAATTTAAACAGTTTTTCTTTATTTTTCCGTATATCATACACAATCATATCGCAATTCCATACGATTCTGTTATAAATCGAGTAGCACATGTCTCCATCCTTTGCAGAATTTGCACTTTTTGCATTACCGTCAATGCAACGTGTTTACATTTTTCAATGTTGCAAGCAGTAAAATCACGAGGGCGTTTCTTATCTGTCATTGTATTAAAAAGGGCTAAAATTTAAAATATTCTTAATTTATCCACAAAATATCCGGATAAAAGAAAAAAGCAGCACTAAATCTCGTGAAATAAAGCTCAGAAAATAAAACAACGTGAATCATGAACATGAAAGAAGCGTTGAGTGAGTCGTCTGCTTTCTTATCTCGATCCAGATCAGAGGCAGAAAAAACTTTTATTATGTCAATAATTTGGCTATTTCCGCAATGGCTCATTATTATTCGGTAATTATTAAGTCATTATTCGATAAGTATTTTTTCTTCAATATTTCGTACTCAATGTTGCGATTTCCGAAACCTATAAAACTGAATGTTTATATTTTGAGAGGCAAAGCGGATTTTCGGTATTTTTGACTGTATTACTTTAATTTCTATTAATAATTACATATTTTAATATACACATAGGTATACGTTTTTACAGATATCACAAATATTCTAAACCGTATATATACGGCCTTGACGCTTAGAGGGTTAACTGAAATCCAAAGTGTACACATCAAAACAGCAAGATTTGTCCGAACTGAAATATGACATAAAATGTGAAGTTATAGCAATTCTTTCCTGTAATGTTATGTTCATCACTGTTGTCAATAATCTCTCAAATACAAAACACTGTCTGCAAAGGTGGGCACATTGAAAACTTGTAATTTCAATAAAAGTTTTCCCTCCCCCCTCTTCTGTGTTGCCACTGGTTTTTTTTACAAAGCTCTTCTTTTCAAATGATGTTTTATGGCAGCAATTTTTGTCACATCTGTATCATTCCAATGCCACTTATGGTTTTTCAATTCACGATCAATTTGAGCAGGGAAAAAAACGAATACCGCCATCCATAAATTTTGAATCCCCGTCAACTTTCAGAGTTTTATTGTTTTAAATCATTACAATATCAAGTGCACACTTTAAAATCATTACAATATCAAGTGCACACTTTAACGCTACAGTATCTGAAATTTCATTTACATTAGTTGAATGGAAAGTTCACTATGGGTTCATATATCAGTTTTTTTTATGACCACTGTGTATGCATATACACATATTTTTTTAATAATCATATTGAATATTTAATCTCATCTGCATGCTGGCCATGAACTTTTGGGTAATATATAAATGTGTATATACTTTTTTGTACAGCAAGACCATCTTAACGCTGTTTTAATACGTGAGAGTATCACAATTTCCTGAAATCTCATGGTGTATCAATACTGCTGGGTTAGTTTATTAGTTTAGGATTTAAAGCTGCAAAAAACCATTTAACACTTCTACTGGGTAGTAAAGAAAATGGAGACTTAATTAAAACCTCTGCTTGCTTACCATTTCAAAATCACACAACATTAAAGCACATTTCAAATCATTTTTGCCAATAATTTGGGAGTCCAATAAAAACTGTACATTTAAAAATAATAAATAATAATTCACTGTACATTTTTCAAAAATTGGTTTTCTAAACATCTTGCCCATCTGTGAAACCAGTAAAAAACTACAACCAAATGCTTTACTTTTGAACGATAATGCTTCAAGCCATCCAACACATTTGTCCAATTCAACAGCATGCACTCCAACAAAGTTAACACAACTTTGTTAAAAACTAATGGATGAAACTATAATCAAATTTTAAAGCTTATCTGTGATTGACATTTTAACAAGTGACAGATAAAATTGATGGAGAAGATAATGCATTAGGGATTTCTGGAAAAATTACATCATCAGTCTTTCTTAGAATGGATTGATCTACAAATGTTTGAAAGAAGTACAGAAGAATTTATGGCTGAAGCTAAGCAAGAATGTTGACATAAGAGACTCCATTTTGTTGATGATGACAAAACTATCAAGTTAGGTAATGAAACGATTGGATAATATAAATGTGCACGATACTGAAACATTATTACAAGTTACAAAGTCTTCCCAATGCCAACCTTAAAAAATTGATAAAAGTACATAATGATGAAATTAGCATTTCTGTAGATGAAGAGCAAAAGATCATTCTAAACGAAAGATTTTTTAAAAAAGATCTGCCCTCTATAACAATTTTTTTTTTACACAAAATGATTTCAATTTTAATAGATGTTGTTTATTAATGTTAATATTATTTCACAGGAATGTTAACACTAATTGTTATATTTTCAAGTTTAATGCTTATCACATTTACTGCTTTTCTCTGTAGTAATACCATATCTGATTTGCTTAAAACAATTCACATTTGCTATTATTGCTTTTACTTCATCACACCACAAAATTACAAAAACATTAATTCACTGTTTCCAAAGTTCTAATAAACTTTGCCCTTTCAAAAGATATAAAGCAAAGATTCTCTAATTATTAATTACTAAAATAAGTACTTAAAAAATAGCTGGCATGTCCTATTAAACACATCACAAACTATGATGTTTTAAATCAGTTCATTTCAGATGCTAAGAATTAAAAACAATATTTTATAAACATGACAAAGAAAAGTACAGTTGAATAAAATATACAGAGATCGGCAAAAGTTTAAAAAGGTAATTAAACAAAGGAACACTGAAAATAACATTTCAAAATATACCTGATCAGTCACATCATAGACAACAATAATGCCATGAGCTCCTCTATAATAGCTAGAAGTTATAGTTCTAAACCTTTCTTGACCAGCTGTATCCCACTAAAAATATTAGTTTATTAGATTTATATCATAAAACCACTACACAATCATAACCTACTACACTAAAATTTAAATAAGAGACAAAATAAATTACTGATTTTATAGTTCTTTTCAGCTTCTAACAAAAAATTACAATTTATATGCTACACAGGAAATTTAACAAATGCATGAAATTTATCTTCACACAAAATTTTAATCCCCTACAACTTGAATAAATACTGAAAAGTAGTCTATTAAACTAGGCAAATGAATAAGGATTAATAATCTAGCTTTTTTACACAGGGGCAAACATACTTTTAACCAAGGTCATTTATAATTGTAGCTGCGATAACCTTTTACAATGCTTCTATCATTTGCCCAGGCAAGATGACAAAAGGGAAACACATTCTCAGTATAAACTTTAAAACTTAGTTTCAAATTTTATGCACTAAATTTCATATTTCTTACTTTAAATGAGCCCAAGAGTGGACATTAAATTTCATATTTCTTACTTTAAATGAGCCCAAGACAGTGGACATGGGATCATGATGGGCCTATGTAACTTGAAATTACTGCACTTATCACAATCCCCAGTAACCTACTTACACACAGTACCTAAAGTGATGACACAATCAGTTTTCCCTCCTGTTTTAAAAGTTATCCATATGCAACAGCCACTTGTCAATATCTAATTTCTTCAATGTACATATGCGCATTTGGCAGTTGTTCGTTGAATCTGGCGAGCTTAATTAGTAAATTCTCTCCCCCCCATCAATCGGACAATGAAGCTTTAGCTAAACAGATCGACCATGACAACTGCTTTCCATTCTTTAGGTCAGGAATAATTATTTTTCTTCTATTTCACTGCTTCTCTAATAGGAAAAGAGACTATGGTTGGGTTGCTGACAATTTGCAATTTTGCTAAATACGAGATCCATTTCTACTGTCATCAAACAATTGACATGCATACTCTTATTTGTAAATAAAAATTTAAGGATGAAATGCTCTTTCCCTAATCCTTGCTATCTCAACACTGTTCATTTTAATTGTTTTACTTATCAATTAAAAGCTTCTAGAAATGATAGAACTACATTCTTTGGCAGATACAGATACTTTCTACATCAAGTTTTCAGCTTAGGTTATTTGTTAGTTTAGTTATACATGTTTAGGCAGATATATGCTGTAAACAGGTGCACACTTGCATTACTTCAGCACCTTGTGTATAAAATTGGATAGGAAAGAGAAAATGTCATCACACAAGACTTCATAAAAGGGCAGATTAAACATTCAAAAGGACTATATTCAACCTGCGGGCCAGCATTTATCCATTCCTGTACTTTAATCCATCAGAAGCTGATACCTCCTGTTTACTCATTTAATTTTCTGACACACAAAATGTTTTATTTGTTATGTGAAATCTTGGTTAAAAATAGAAATTTAGAGCCATTTTCTTTTCGAATATCTAGTTAATAAACATAAAATACTAAGAGCAGGTTCAATTTTAAATATTTCTGAACATTTTTACTTAAATTCATAAACCACAACCGAACAGCCTAGTAATTTATTAAATTACATATTATAGAAATAATCGTGACATTTTTCATAACAAATTAAATTATTAATCCCAGAGAAACACAACCCTTGAAAATGAGTAAAACTGTCCCATTCTTTTAGTCTGTAAAAACAAAAAATTAGAATATGTATCAAAACACCTCAAATTCAAATTGGAAGCAGTAGGAAACACCAAAGTAAAGATAGAACATTTTCACACATTCATTTCTATATAAATACGGAAGCATCCTTTCATTAATGCATTTTAGGTCAACATTCTTAACTGACTACTTAATTTATCCAATTAAGACACAAAGCATCAAAGCTCCAAAGAAATTGACACAAATGGTTTAAAAATATGAAGTTTACAATCATATCCTTTGTCATAACAGAAAATAAACACTAACAGAAAATATGCTGCTTCAATTCCACGTCAAAACTTACACATTACTGGTTTTCAATCAAGCATATTTGATTCCACTGGAACACATCACTAGCATTATTTTATTCTCTCAACAGAATTTCTCTAAACAAAATAACAAGAACTGCATCCTGCTCAAGGATTGAACTATTTAGATTATGGAAAAGAACATGAGAACCTGCCTAAATGAAGGAATATCTTCATGGAACATTTCAGAAAGAAAACTAGCCCATATTTATATTACAGGTTAAAGACCATTAAGAACGTGATCAATCCTTTTGTCAAGATCCAAACCCAGTTTCCCCACAGCAGTCTACTAGTATTCAGCAGTTTTGCCACTTATTGCTAGCACTCCATTAAAAAAAAAGCTTCTTGATGCTTAAACCAAATTCTGGCATTAAAGAATAAATTATCAAAATAAGAGTCACAATCCTGCAGTGGATCAGAAGAACAGTATTTGGTATGATGAAAATTCTCATTTTGTTACATAATTTACATATGATTAAGTTTTAAAAATTTTTAGATTTATTATTTCATAATTCCATTTCCTTTAAGTATTGTTTCCCTCTTTGTCAAACGAACTATGAGGCAGGCTTAATAACTAAATACATGCGAGTTAACTGACTTAATGAATTCGATTTTTCCAATTCTTTAGTCCAAAAGGGCTTTGTCCCTGAAGGACTATTGTTTTAGTTTTGTGATTTTGTGTTGAAAACTTTAAAAGGCTGCACAGTCAAAAGTCTTTAATCCGGACTCATCGGGACTTCGGCGATTCCGGATTATCGATCATCAATTTAAATCTGGTAAGACGGCATGCAGAAATTATAAAATTAAAAACATGAAATCCTAATTTATGAAATAAAGAGCAATCATGATCTAAAGGGTATCAAAATTTACAAAAAAAAAAAAGCTTAATATTTATTTGTTTACTTTATTAAATATTTCAACGCGCACATGCATAAAGCATACATTACGCATAGTCGAAATTAGAAAATTGCAACCAGAAAACTATTTGATGTATATTCGTGATATTTATAATGACGAGGAATTTGATTTAAATCATAACAAAGACTGAGTACATCGAGAAGAAATACTACATTTAGTAAGGAATTATAAGCCGAATAAATAAAAACAATCTGCCCTGAAGATAAGGATAGTGCTGACAGATCAACCTCCACTTCATTGTGCGCTGTGACGTTCCCCCCCCCCAGAGCTGCGTGAAATTGATAAACAGATTTCGGAATGGTTAGAGAAAAAGGATATGCTTTATCCATTTTTTGCAGCAATTCCACTTTTTGTTTGATGGACATCGAAACATGCCTTCGCTTTGTAGATCCTTTGGCAGCTCCAGAATCGGAAATTCTTTTTGACATAATCGAAAGTTCAAGCTTACTTTTATAAAATTGCTCTAACAGTGCAAAAAATAAGACGGATCCAATTCGAAGATTAAGGAACAACGCAATCTGCAACATTAACTGAAACAGACAATTAGATAATTTTAGCTTAGCTTAAATTGTCCGTTATACATTAAATGCATGTGCAGAAAGTTTGTAGCTTTGAGGTCAAGATTATAGATCATTTGGGATTATGGGCATCCGGATTAAAGACTTTTGACTTATCACTTTTCAAATTGCCACCACCAAATACTGTCACCCTGCATTATATTTCAAGAAATTAAATAATGAAGAACCTGCAAAAATGTATGCGTTTCTCGCATTGTGATAAAACAGCGGTACCTAGAGCCATCCGATTTTGAATGACGTAATCCTACTGCGAATATGGGCATCTGAAAGCCCAAATTTGAAATTTGTTTTATTATAGATTTCAAATTTTGTAAAAATTATGAATTTTTGATTAACAAAGTCAAAGATTTAAAAGCAAGCCATGGCAACGCTCTATGGTGGGGGAAAAAAAAAAAGGAACTTTTTAACTCTAGCGCGTGGACCTGTGTATCGGAAATTCTACGTATATGCTCATTTTAAAATTATGTTGTGACATTGCTGTTGAACTGAATTTTATGGTTTAAGTGCAAAGAACATGATATTTAACAAATAAAGGTAACACACAAAATATTTATAAAATGGCCTTTTGAACATAATTTAATATCTGAAACCTTTCAGATTTCTTATTTTAGTTACTTCAGTATTTACCCATGCTAACTTATATGCAAGGTATTTCAAAAATTATATCCGAATGATCCAAGTTTTTATCCAAGTTCTGCTTTTTGCACAAATACTTATGTTACTGTTAAATAAGTGTCATTTTCTCTGTTTTAAAAGCATTCACATATAATTTTGCATCCCAAAACATCCCATTTTTAATCATGTTGGCAATCATATGACAAAACTGTTTAAGAAAACTAAAGTGTTCTATGAAATAAGACGTTCAGTTCTTGATGGCAAGAAATGCCCTAAATCATTGCCTGTTGGTATACTTCATACCACAGAAGACAATAAATGCTTTTGCATTTTGTCTGCCACAGTTGTTTTGTGACAATGTAAAATCTCGTACTGTTCTTCAAATGCAAGCTCTAAATTGCTCGGTTGGCAATAATTTGACCCTTTCCCATATAACTCAGACACAAGGTTGATAGATCACTATACTTTCCTGCATTTAACAGAAAGTTCCTTAACAATGAAGTGAAATACATTGATTCAGAAATCAAATAAAGATTCAAAAATAATTACTTTCTTGGATGCACATTTCTGTAAAACAGTTTGATTAAAATTTATATCACACTAAAATAAGCATTTCAATAATCGAAAAACTGTATAGAAAAATACCCATAGACAAATAAAAGATAGCTGGAAATCTTAAAAACTTAAGTACATAAAAATATTTCACAGTTCTTATCTTAAAATAGTCTTTTTTAAATCATACCTTGTAACACTTTAAGTGTTACCCAAATTTAAATGATTATCGTTCATTTTTCTTTTCATGACGTTGAAATAAATACAATAATAAAAGACTAAGAATTTTTTTACTAGATCATTCACATTGTCAAACAACAACAACAACAACAACAACAACAACAAAAAAGCTGATGTTATACTTCTTAAAGAAAATTAATTCATCACACACCATATATGTTAATCCCCAAAGAATTTACTTCAGAAAAGCCTAATAGTTTAAAAGTGCAAAAACTAACTACATTGTTAATGTATTTGTGAATTATATTATTTTAAAGCCAGTTTTATGATTTAAAATATGTTCCCACCTTATAACAAAGATTTAATTGTGCATAAATTTTTTAAGCAATTCTACTTTAATCTTGCATTCAGAACAGATCACCCTTTTTTACTAATCATCTCAATGTAAATGTTATCCAGTTATTGTATTGCTATAGACTGCAAGTTAAAAAAAGGAAACAAATATTAGAAAATATATTTTAGTTGATTTTTATAAGTACCATTATGAAAATTATAATGCCCATTTCTACATAATTTACAAACACGCACAATTTTCTCAATACACTCTAAATGAAAAAATTCACTATTTTATGTTTAAAATTGCTGAAACCAAAGTATTTTTCTTAGTTAAAATAAACTCATATGGTACATTTAAATTGTTTACAATTAATCTGAAAGCACTTACTATCTGAAGTTTAATTGTTTTTCCTTCAAGCTCTATGGTTCTGATTTTCTGCAAACAAAAAAAAAATGAAATGTATAAAAAAATTTATCCAGAATAAGGCTAAATTTTGAACATTTAATTCAGCCTTTTGTTTTCCAATAGCAACTATAAACACACTGAAATAAATCCAACGTGTAATAACCGAGAGCAGCATCTGGAGATTAAAGCTTTAAAATAAATACAAGGAAAAAAAAAAGACCACATACGATTAAGGTAAAAGATACTCTTCTGTTATCGGGAGTAGATCCAGAAGCATTTGTATGCAAGTGCACATGTATATATGTATGTCTATATACATATAATACACACACATTTACGAATCCAATCCTGAAAAACAGAAGACTACCTAGTTATTATCTAAAAATTTTTTTAATTAGCACTGTATAGATCAGGTCCATAAACTGCCATGTAAAACCCACAGTGAAACATAAAAGAATGACAACATTAGGTCATCTGTTTAACAGATATAATGCAGTATTACTGACCTCATTTTTTTATTCCACATAATCAACTATAAATGTTAAATAAAAAGGAGAAATACAATAAATAGTATACAATTTTACAAGATTAACAATTAATACTGATTACAGTTATGTGTGTTGTTGAATTTTATATTTTTTTTCACTTTTCAGTCACAATGAAATGCTGCATAAAGAAAACAATTTTGGTACTATTCGATTTTGAGGGCCGTAAAAAAAATCGCCAAACTATTGATGCCAGTGCTGCCAAAAATAATTATGGCAACCCTAACACAAGAAAAGAAGTACAATGATAAATATTTAAGATTGATATTTTAATTTAGATGAAAAGTTAATTTCATATAATATATTATTATAATTTATATAAAAAAGGCTAAATATGACTGAATGGAAACAGAAGAGTAAAGTATTTCAGATCATTATTATAATTTATATAAAAATTGTTAAACATAACTGAATGGATGGCTGCATCGCTTTTTCACTACCGAGTTATCGCTAAAGCATAATTTCATCTCGTTGGTTTAAAGTGCAAAATCACCCACTTATTTGTTTGCCGCTTTTTACAAGGGTAAAAACAATTGGATTTTAGTCAATTTTCTTAGTGAAAATAGGTCGATGTGTACATAGATAAAGTCAAGGGTATGCGAAGTGCCATCTTTGTGCAAATTTGGGATTTTTTTTTAAGTGAGAATGGGTCGATGTGTACATGGATATCAAGTATGTGAAATTCTTAAAAATGCGTGAAGCAGTGGGTGATTCTGCACTTTACCAAAATTCTACTGCACACTTTTCGTCATAGACAATTCCCAAATTATTAAATCCATAGGATATCAAAAAAGAATTTAAAACCAAAAAAGGATTTAAGGGGTATCGGAAACCCCTATACCGACAATGTTAAATTGGCCATTTCTGATGTACCTTTTCTCAAAATCTGCTGTAGATACAAGCTTGAAATTTTTTCTGTAATTAAAGTATACCTATCTGATTATACTGAAATGAGCTTTTAAAACATTTTGAATTTTAGAGTAAATTACAGGATATTTTGTTACGCATAGTAAAATTTAGCACTTTTCTCACAAAAAAATTTAAAAAATTTTTTTTCTAAGTTTATTACAAAATGCTCATTTCAGTAAATATTAGGGAACCTAATAAATAAGCCATAAAAAGTTTAGATACCTGTGAGCAGTAGTTCCTGAAAAAAGGTTCATAGAGTATCAAATAATCACGTTTGGAGAAAAACACGTTTTTATGTAAAAATCCTCATTGATCAAAGCAGTAGATGACAAATTAAAACTAGATTTTTTTACAGTTCTAATTTTCACAGAGATTAAAGAATGGTATGTTTAAAAAGATAAAAGTGTAGAGAATTTGAAAATGCAAAAATCCAAAATCACAATTTTTTGAAGATTTTGGGGTTCCAACTCCCCTTAAAATTTAAACTAGTATTTCAATGGCATCCTTTAAGAAATATAGAACTATATAAACTTACGCAACCTGAAATCAGCGTGCATGACTGATTTGGCGCGTTTGCTAGATTTGGCGCTTTTGCGCATACATTTTCGCTGCAATTTTTTTACGGTCCTTGAAATGGAATAGTATCACAATTGCTAAATAACTATCAATACAATTACAAAAGTGATTGGTTAGAGTAGAGTTTAAGGTACTCCTTGTATTATGGGGAAGTTGTTGTTTCACTTATCGGCAAGTTGTTTCATTTATGGTAGCCTGAGTAGTTGAATGTTATGGAAACCCTACCGTGACGTAATTGGATGCATGATTCTGGGAAATTTTGAATCATGGTATGTTTTATAAGCGCTTATGAGGTATGTGTTCATTTTATTGTTTAGATGGTAGAATGGCTGAATGTAGTAAGATTAATTTGAAGTTTCTGTAAGATTTGAAACGAAAGGGAAAAGGAGCATTAATTGAGTGGTGTATAAATGAAGATTTACTTAGTAGCCATTATAAGTGTCCTGTATTAAGAAGGAAATACGTCTAGTCGAAAGTAAAAACCGTTTAGATGGATGGATTTATAGGAACAAAGGTTCAGATGTGGCGATGCCGATATACGGATTTGAGTTCAGATAATTTTAGGAAGTTTTTGGATGCTGTTAAGGAATTTTGAGCAACACAGACTAAAGTCGAAGGAACTTCTAAGTAGATATTTGCTTTTTGTAGTGCTTAAATGTACAACATGTTTTTCCTTTTTTGTTATTTTATTGTTTGATTTAAAATGTAGTTTATTGAGATTATGTATTTTTTGTTTGCCTGTATTGTAGAATTGGGTGCTCCTTTGACTTTTTAAGTGAAAATATATTGATGTTTACATGGACAAAGTGAAGGGAGTGCGCAATTCTTTGATTTTTTTTTTTAAAGTGAAAAATAGGTCGACGTGTACATGGATAACGAGTTTGTGCAATTCTTTGGCTTTACGTAGCAATTTTTGCCGCAAAAATCGGCGTTATGCAAGGCAAAATAATAAGTCAAAGAACTGCACAAACTTTGTATCCATATGCCACCAAGAGGTACCCTAAAATGTACTTTTACCAAGTGATTCTCAAGTTAAAAATATTAAAAAAGCTTCATAATATACAAACTGTGAAATTTTCTTTAAAAATTATATCTTAATTATAGTTTAGAATAATTTAATTCTACTTTAAATTTCAAAATTTCAGGTGAATAATCAGAGGATAAAAATACTTAAAACTAATTTTAAAATAAAACGCTCCAGTTTTCCTTTTCATGAAATTTATAAACCAACCAGACTTTAAAAACTAAACAAAATAATGAATTAAAGAGTTTCTAATTTCCTTTTGTCTAATTCACAAAAAATAAATAAAATAAAGCAAAAACAAATAGAATATATTTATGAAATAATTAACATAAAAAGTTCAACGAATTATTTCTTCACAATAAAAATCATGCTATACATGATAAAATTCTAAAGTTTTAAATTTATGGATTTGTTTTAATCAAGAACATTCAAAAGAGACAAAAAGCTAAAATAGCACTTACGAAATCCACACCAATTGTGCTGATATAACTTTCTGTATAAGTATCATCCTGGTAAAGAAAAAAGTTTATATATATATATATATATACACACACACACCAATAAAAAATCAATTCGTACACAAAATTTTAAATACAAAACTATTTAGAAAAACAAATCTTAACCTTTAACTGTTTGCTCCTCACATAACGGAGAACCTATTTCTACAGTTGTGTCATGATACTTCCGAGATGAACCAAAGTTACATACTTAACAGCACAAAAATATCTTCCATATCATGGTCAGTAAATATTACTGTATATTTTAGATCTTAAACAGAAAATTAATGCCATTAACTTTAAGAGGTGCCAAATTTACAACCACCATGCGTATAAACATTGTGCATTATTCCATTATTTGGACCGAATTCAAAAATCTATGTAGGTATGCATGTATGTATACACATACATACATACATGAACACACACCTCCATACATTTCTGAATATGGTCTTCATAAGAAGAAAAGTAACAACATTCTTCAGGCAAGTATACTCACAGCGATCTTTCAATCAAGCAACATTGCCATTTTCGTACACATGCTTTTTGTTATACAGTCAAAAGTCGTTAATTCGGACACCCATAATTCGGAATGATCTATAATACGGACCTCAAAACTAAAAACTTTCTGCGCATGCGCCGCATTGACACATGCGCATAGGCGTTTACGCGTGCGCGTAAGACCTTTTACGACTGCGCATATGAGTCTGCGCAAGTGCAGAATACGTTTTCGGTGCGCGTTTATGTATAATGGACGTATAAGCTAAAATTATCTAATTACCTATTTCAGTTAATGTTGATGATTGCGTTGTTCCTTAATTTTTCGAATTGGATCCGGCTTATTATTTTTTGCAGACTGTAAGAGCAATTTTATAAAAGTAAGCTTAAACTTTCGATTATATCAAATAGAATTTCCGATATATATTTGTTAATATGTAAAGGATCTAAAGCGAAAGTATGTTTTGAAACCCGAAATCTGTTTATCAATTTCACGCTGCTCCGCGGGAGGAACGATCCTTATCTTCAGGGCTTCTTAATAAAATAAAAACATCTGTTTTTATTTTATTTGGCTTATAATTCCTTACCAAATTAGTATTTCATCTCCATGTGCTCTGTCTTTGATATGATTTAAAACAAGTTCCTCGTCATTATAATTCGCTTCCGATAGCGAAGAAAGTGACAGAGGTTAGTGAAAACGAAAAAATTTCGATTGACAAATTAGTCGGTGTTCTTGACACAGCAATTATAGGACTTGAACAGCGGAACTTTGTAACTGAACAAGAAATTATGTCTGTTTAATAGAATTAAAGAGAAAGTATTATCACATGAAACGAAGCAAAACTTAAACAACTTACATTGAAAGAAATGTTTAATAAAGTAAACAAATAAATATTAAGCTTTTTCTTTTTGCAAATTTTGATACCCTTTAGATCATAATTGTTCTTTATTTCATAAATTACGGTTTCATATTTTTAATTTTAGAATTTCTGCATACCATCTTGCGAGATTTAAACTGATGATCTATAATCCGGAATCGCCGAAGTCCCGACGAGTCCGGATTAACGACTTTTGACTGTATTCCAATTTCCAACAGTTTTTATGGATAAATCTTTATTTTTACCTCAAATTTTAAAATGTTCATTTGTGGAACTTGGCAGCAACTGAAGAAACTGCCATAAATTATCTGTCATTTTGCAATAAATATTCACTTAAAATATCTGTGGGAATGTAGAACTTTTTTTGGAAAATTTTCAGATTTATGTAATTCTCCCAAGAATTTTTTTAAAGCAAAAACAAATCACTGCATAAATGGGGAGAAGAATAGAGCCAAAAATTACAGAACAATTTTGTGAAAAATTAAAGTTTTTTTTGTATCATATAATCCTTATTTCATGATTTGTGTGTGTTCTTTTGATATGCTGATAATGTTTACAGACTTACGATCAATAGAGATTAGAACAAGAGTGAGAAATTTTCTTATATTACTCTAATCATGTGGCCTAATAAGCAGGCATTACAGGGACAAAAACCCAACCTATTCATTATATCTATTTTCCCACAATAGCAGTTAACATAAGCTTAGCGTATACCTTTATATTTTTAAAATTTTAAGCTCATCTGCAACAAATACATAATTAAACTATTTGTGGGCCACATAAAATTGCTTTGGGACCTTGACAGCACTGATCTAATACATCTTTCATGGAATATAAAAAACTCAAAATTTCCGAAATTCAAATGGTAATTCTACTGCATTAGCAAACTGACATTCAAAATTCCAAGAGTTTTACAAAGGTGATTAATCTTATAATTCTCTAGAAGTAAATGAAAGTTAGCTCTAGGTAAAAATTATGATAAACATCCTTTTGATGCTAATAAATAATGTATACTTACAGCAAATCTTAATAGTAAACAGGACTTTCCTACACCAGAGTCTCCAATAAGTAATAATTTAAATAGGTAGTCACTGAAATAAAGAAAATTCATTATTTTTGTTTAATACAATGAAATGAATACATAATTTGGCAAATTAAAACTAAAATCAAAAAATGTTTACATGCGGAATTCATACAGTAGAACCAAATGACGGTAAGACCAGACAAGTAGCCAATCATACATATTAAAAGGTACTAAAGTGCAAATTGCATATGCTTGCTATCTTACAGATTTTACACAAAATGCTAATAGCACATCTGACTAAAAAGAAACTTTTACATAACTGAAACAAAGTGAGAGAGACGCTTAATACCGAACTTTTAAATACTCAAGCTGGGGTCAAATTCTTCAATAATTCCAGCATCATTAATGAGCAACACCATGTGCTACGCACAAATTAAACACAAATAAAGTTTGCTTTGAAAGAATTTTTTTCGACAGGGTCAATATGTGAATTTCCATAAATGTATCAAGACATAAGATGTAAAACTGCACTGATTTCAGCAATAAAATAATGTTCCATACATGTGCGAAAAATAAAATGCAATAATTACCTAGATTATGACAAAGCACACAAGATTATCTGCCTAAAAAGACATGCGTAGAACATGGAAGACTCTTCATAAAAACTAAATGGTATCGAAGTCATACATGAGAAAAACATGAAAATTTCCATGTAGCCAGTTTGTTAGGATTTAAGATACTGTTCTGTTATCAGGACCAGATTTAGAAATATATGTATGAATGGATGGATGGGTTCATGTATGCCAACTCATTCATGTAAGCACAAATGTATGTGTGTATATATATATATAAAGTGGGTACATATATATAATGTTGTATGATCTTAAATCCATTTAGTGCGAATTCAAGTTATTATTACTTGCGCAATTGCTGCAAAGTTAGTTAATAATAATTTATTTCCTAAACAGTATTGATTAATTGATTATATTATCTCCTAAGTTTAATTAAAGTAGAATTATTTTAAAAGTGTGCATCCATACTGGTAAGTTATATTTTGAAAGATGTTTTGAAGTAATTTGAAAGCAAAATGTTAATAATGTTTTAACGGGGACTGGAGTTAAATCATCACGAAGAATAATATTTCAATTGTAAAAAGGAAAAATTGGAACATGTAATCATTGTCATTGATCGCAAATTAGTTGACTTTTCAAGGGGAACAAACCAACTCCCGTTCAATGAACAATAATTGATAAAAATACGTAATTACGAAAGTGTTTCGTCTTTACCCGAGTTATAAGTTAAAGCCAAACCGGCAATTCTAGCCAGGCCAAATATTTCCGTGAATAGTAGGAATTATGAACCAATGCTGATACTCAAAGAACTTATTCTTATGAAGCATTTTTAGTCAATTCAATTTGGAGTAAAAATCAATTACTGTAGAGAAATCCTACAAAACTCGAGTAACCGTCCCCGACACTTTCATGTTTATGCATTTGAGTACTATATTATTTGTAGAAATTAAACATTATACATGGCACATACATTCACACATTTCCGAATCTGGTTCAGATAACAGAACAATACTGGATTTAATCCAAGTTTAATTACCAGGATTCGGATGTTTTGAAATTTCTTAGAGCATTTTTCCAAAACCTAATGTTTTTTATTTACAATATAAAAAATCAGAATCAAGACATCAAAAATGCACATGAAAGCAATTTTTTCGTTTCTACAGAATTATATAGTAAATCTATAATAAAAAATGCTACAAAATTCTTTTATAAAAATAGATATTTGTAAAGATATACACTACAGTCCATAATCTGGACTCGGGATTTCGGCGATTACGAATTATAGATCATCAATTTAAATCTGGTAAAATGGCATGCAGAAATTATACAATTAAAAATATGAAAACTAATTTATGAAATAAAGAGCAATTATGATCTAAAGGGTATCAAAATTTACAAAAAAGCTTAATATTTATTTACATTATTAAACATATCTTTCAATGCAAGTTTAAGTTGCTTCATTTTTTGTGCTAATACTTTCTCTTTAATTCTATAAACAGACATAATTTCTTGTTCAGTTACAAAGTTCAACTCTTGAAGTCCCATAATTGCTGCGTTGAGAATACCGATTAACTTGTCAATCGAAATTTTTTCGTTTTCAATAACCTCTCTGTCATTTTCTTCACTATTGGAAGTGTGCATGGGTAAACACTTTATGCGTAAACGCATTACGTGCATGCATAAGTTTGTGGCTTTGAGGTCCAGATTATAGATCATTCTGGATAATGGACGTCTGGATTACGGACTTTGTACAGTATTTAAAGTAACCTATTTTAAAACTAGAATATTTCAAGTCTTTTTATTCTAACCCATTATCTGCTGAATTTTGCCTCGGAAATAGGTTCCTCTTACATCATAAAGTCATGTTTCATACTGCTAGCCTCTAAATTATTGTTAGCAATCACCGATTTTTTTTAGATTCCTATTTGGAGAAAACATTGGAATTTTTTATGCTACTGTATAAAGTTTTATATGGAGTTCAACAATGCAATGATTCTAAATATTTAGTTTAGACACAATGCTTTTTTATCTGGCTTTCTTTCATACCGCACACGAAACTGCAAATGCATAAAATGAATTGTAGATTACACTTATCTAAAAAACAATACCACCAGGATATTAAATTCAAGTAAACATTTGGTATTGCAACATATCAACTGTAAATAAACAGAACCTTATCAGATGGATACACCCAGAAAATTCCTAAATGGTGATCTAAACAGCCTCTGGGTTAACCCTTCGACCAGCTTAAATGCATCAGCTGTTACTAAATAAGACCTTATCAGATGGGCAACAAAAATTCCTAAATAGAAATCACAACAACCAATAGGCTAACCCTCCAACCACTTAAGGGTTTAGCTGTAAAAGCTCAAATTAGTCAAACACTGCTTTAGGAATGAGGCATTTTCTTTATTAACATAATAAAATGTTCTTTGGTCCTTTACATCAATTCTTTCTCTTTATATTTTAATTTCTTGAAAATAAGACTAGGCTGTACATATATGGAATGAAGATTTTTCGTTGCACAAAATTTCTCTGCTCAATTACAAAAATGTATGCTACTATAATAATCCTTTAATTTTCTTTCTAAATTTAAGGTTAGTTTACAAAAATGATTTTAAAAACCAATACCTGGTAAATGGAACTAATACAGTCAAAAGTCGTTAATTCGAACACCCATAATCCGGAATGATCTACTAATGATATGAATGTCCGCAATGATAATCCGTACCTCAAAGCTACAAGCTTTCTGCGCATGATTCGCTATTGCGCTTTACGGCTGCGTATATGCGTGTGCGCATAATACGTTTACGCATGCGCGTTTAATGTATAACGGACGATATAAGCTAAAATTACCTAATTATTTCAGTTAGTGTTTCAGATTACGTTGTTCCTTAATCTTCGAATTGTATCCGGCTTATTATTTTTTGCAGACTGTTAGAGCAATTTTATAAAAGTAAGCTTGAACTTTCGATTATGTCAAATAGAATTTCCGATGCTGGAGCTCCCAAAGGATCTACAAAGCGAAAGTATATTTCGATGTCCATCAAACAAAAAGTGGAATTGCTGCAAAAAATTAATAAAGGCATATCCTTTGTTTCTCTAACCATTCCGAAATCTGTTTATCAATTTCACACAGCTCTGGGGGAGGGGATGTCACAGCGCACAATGAAGTGGAGGTTGATCTGTCAGCACTATCCTTATCTTCAGGGCAGATGTTTTTATTTTATTTGGCTTATAATTCCTTACTAAATTTAGTATTTCATCTCGATGTACTCCGTCTTTGATATGATTTAAATCAAATTCCTCGTCATTATAATTCGCTTCCGATAGTGAAGAAAGTGACACAGAGGTTATTAAAAATGAAAAAATTTCGATTGACAAATTAGTCGGTATTCTCGACACAGCAATTATAGGACTTGAACAGCAAACTTTGTAACTGAACAAGAAATTATGTCTGTTTATAGAATTAAAGAGAAAGTATTATCACATAAAACGAATCAACTTAAACAACTTACATTGAAAGAAATGTTTAATTTAAACAAATAAATATTAAGCTTTTTTTTTGTAAATTTTGATACCCTTTAGATCATAATTGTTCTTTACTTCATAAATTACAGCTTCATATTTTTAATTTTATAATTTCTGCATGCCATCTTACCAGATTTAAACTGATGATCTATAATCCGGAAAAATCGATAATCCGGAATCGGCGAAGTCCCGATGAGTCCGGATTAACGACTTTTGACTATAATTGGTAATATTATAGCCTACACTAAAAAATGTAGAAATACATTGCTAGACGATTATAGTTCTTCTCAATTCATCATTTTTAAGATCCAGCATGTCTAACTGGTCAGCTAGAGGAATTTTAAGAAAACAGAAGCATAAGGCTTCTGTTTAGGGCCAATTTTGCAAATTCTAGAGTATAACTTTCTTTTAAACAATTGGTTCAATCTAATGGGCGTATCCCTAAAGATATTTGATAAGAGCTATTTGGATAACTTTCCCAGTTGAACATGTAAAATTTATCAATGTAAGAGGTCGATATTACTGCAGACAGAAGTTAAGGCAATTAAAGGCAATAGCAAACAAGGAAACTAATCCTAAAATAATGGTGATTAAGATTTTGAGATTACAGCACAGTTTGATAAATTCTGGAAAACTTTCAATTTAAATGAGGAAAATTTAAGATCTTTACACTATGGTAACTTGGCATTTTTTTGGCGAACATTTGGCGACCAACTCTCCTACAGCAACCCTCTATTTTTTTTTCCCGCCGCCATTCTGTCTTCACGAAGTAAAGACATGTTTCTTTTCTTTTTATCTACTGAACACTTCTTCCAACAATCTACTAGCCGAATTAAACTTATGCTAGAAATTTTATCTAACAAAACTGCTTAATCATGACAAATATTCACTGAAAAATTGGGAAAAAGTGCACAATACCATACTCCTTACGCGTTTTTCAAAATAACACATACACATAAACCATGTACAAAACAAAACGCCGACTTATTTTTACTTAAAAAAACATCCCAGAATTGCACACAAAAATGGCATTGTGCACACTCTTTACATATCCATGTACACTGCTTTTTTCTCATAAATTAGAAAAATTTCACGAAAATACATGACAATTTTCTCAATCTTTAAACCCGGTAAAAAGAACATATATGAAATTACCTGATCGCGAAAAGTATTTACCCTTTCCAAATATGAACATTTCCACATATAAAAAATAAATAAATATCCAAAAACTTTTACCTCTAAATTATCTATTACATTATACACGTCACCAATGAATTCATACGCAAGCATCACAAATACTTAGTATCAAATATTTAAATTATTTCCATGCACGTTTACTTCAACTTAAACGTACACCAAATTTCCTACAAACATAAAATTCACAAAATAACTATCATTAATTAAAATATCACTAAACCATGTACACGCCGACTTATTTTTACTTAAAAAAACATCCCAGAATTGCACAAAAATAGCATTGCGCACACCCTTCACTATATCCATGTACACTGCTTTTTTCTCATAAATTAGAAAAATTTCAAGAAAATACATGACAATTTTCTCAATCTTTAAACCCGGTAAAAAGAACATATATGAAATTACCTGATCGTGAAAAAGTAATGAACATTTCCACATATAAAATAAATAAAATATCCAAAAACTTTTACCTCTAAATTATCTATTACATTATACACGTCACCAATGAATTCATACCGCAACCATTACAAATACTTATTGTCAGATATTTAAATTATTTCCATGCACGTTTACTTCAACTAAAACGTATACCAAATTCCTCAAACATAAAATTCACAAAATAAAAACTATCATTTAATTAAAATATAATTAAATTTAAAAACACTACTTAAAATATAAATGAGCACATACATTAAATTAATACATACATAAATACCCATTTCGAATTCACTTTAGTTACGGCCATGGGATCCAAAAATTCACGAACACTGTTTCACACAACACAGAATAAAAGCCAAATACAAAATTTCCAGATTTTTTCCCCGATTTCCTCCCTTTTCCGATTAAAGAACCGTAATTCGTCCATTAATATCACATGATCTCTCATTTCCCTCACACAAAATAATGCGTAATCGGAACTGAGTACTGCTCACATTATTACCAAAGTACCAGGTAGTAACCTTTATCGCCTCCAAAATGTCGCCAAACTACCAGTTACCATATTGTAAAGATCAACCAAAATTTATTTTTAATAACTAATTAGCTTCAATAGTTTACAGTTAAAATATTAAACTTTTTAAAGATAGAAATCCTTTTAAAATGTGCGAAAATAGTATTACCTTACAGAATTTTACCTAACAAATTTGATGAAAAAATTTCAGTTAATAAACAAATACCACAAAGAAACATTCAAATCAATTGTAACTTTTTAGCTTGATGAAATGTGACTGGTAAAAAGTTCTGTAAGTATAATTAAAATATTCCAATATATAAGTCTACGCGAATTGAAAAACTGAAGTAATTTTATTACAGCCCTATTTAAAATTCTTTTTAATAGTCTAAAAGAACAAACATCAAACTGCTCTAAAGCCTGTTTTCATAATGGGATTTACAGATAACTGGTTAAAAATTTAACAAACTACCAATGTTACCATTAATATTGATTCTAATTTTTTATTCATAAATGCATTAAATTATGATACTTTATCATCTACACTGAAATTTTTTTTTTTTTTTTTTTTGACTGCATGAGACAGTTTTACAAATATTGCTATTCTGATAAAGGATTTCAATAGTTAAGAAAAGCTTGCTTACTATGCAAAGATGGTCAAGAACATTCAAGATGTTCATCTGAAATTAGTCTTACTTTTTTAAAGTTTTGTAAAAATATTTGCAAATACATATCTTTCAAAAAGATAACACTGATAGAGAATGCTTGTACAGCACTAATCATTTTTATTTAAGAGAGTAATCATTAAAGTCCACTTAAATTTCCTTTCAAGCACGACTGCATTAGTTTCAGGTCATCTAAAAATATAGTAAGAAATACCCTGAAATGCAACCAGCCTTTTTATAAAACTTATTCTCTTTGCATTTAAATAGAAATTAATAATCCTCATTTACCACTTACCTAATAGTCCAACAACTCATGCTTTTAAAACAAGACTGCTAAAATTTCGAATTCTTTACAATAGTAATTGCTAATGAAGTTCATTTAAATAAGTACTTATATTTCTAAAAAAATCATCAAACTGCTGCTTATTCCTGAAGTTTATGAAGTACACGTTTATGCTTTCAATATTACGGTGGTCAAATTCAACAACTCCAACAGTTCACGTATTTGACACTTGTACTAGAAAATTAAATTATGAAAAGGCAATTTAAAAAGGTAAGGGGAGTTTTGGATTATATTTCAACTGTGGTTTAATCCTAGTATATGCTGCACACAAGATTATTTGGCTACTTTATGATCAGCAGTAAACGTGACATATATGATGAAACTGGTCATTTTGGTGTTCGCAATAATTTTCAAAATCGTGCCAAGGCTGCACCGTATACTAGGATACTCCGTTAGGACAGTACTATTCCGTTTTTGAGGATAGTAAAAAAATCGCCAAACTACTGCTGATGCCAGTGCTAGTAAAAATAATTGCGGCAATCCTCATACAAGAAAGGAAGTATAATAGTAAATAACTATCCAAGATTTTATTGTTTTAATTTAGATGAAAGGTTAATTTCATATACCTTTTTATTACAATAATTTATATAAAAAAGGCTAAATATAACTGAATGGATTCATGCATCGCTATTTCGCTATTGAGTTATCGCTAAAGCACAATTTCACCTCGTTGGTTATTCAAATATAATTTTCTATAATGAATGATGCCTTTTCTTAGAAAAAATTCTATTGCAGACTTTTCGTCATGGGCAATTCCCAAATTGTTAAATCCATAGGATATCAAAAAATGATTTAAAAATTAAACTAGTATTTCAATGGCATCTTAAGAAATATAGAACTATCTACACTTACAATTTGAAATCAGCGTGTACACTATATTTGGCACGCTGTTAAACGAGTGCGCATGCTAGATTTGGCTAGCATACATTTCCGTTCCATTTTTATGGTCCTCAAAACGGAATAGTACGAAAATTAACTTCTGGGTAAAAGTTTACAATTGGGTGCCCATTGTTTTTTGGCGATTCTTTTTTTGACGCCTAGATCGGTGACAGGAAGGCACAATTTCAAGATGGCCGCTACACAAAAACAAAATAAGAAGTCAAATTGCACAAATTCTGTGTCCGTGTACACATCAATCTGTTTTCACTTAAAAAAAAATCCTAGAATTGCACTAACTAGGCATTGCACACTGCCTTAAATTTGTCCATGTACACATCAATCTATTTTAATTTAAATAAAATCAAGAAGCTAATACTATCACGGTAACCAGAAGTGAGGTTTCATCGCCAAAATTTAAAAGAAAAATTGTCGCTAATCAAAGGGGCACCCAATTCTACACCAGAGACTAACTAAATGTCTTACCAAGAAGCTTTAAATAGGATAAACACAACTAAGTACTTATATAAATTCTGAAATTCGTTATAAGGATAACCAACTTTAATCATTGCTTTACATTAATTTCCAATTTGAACCAAGTACATATTCAGGAAGCTAACTAAAAGTTACACTTTTTAATTATAGCAGCAGCTACAAATTTCAGAGTTAATAAACTATACAATTTTCTTCATAATGCACGAAAAAATTTGATGCTGTCAACAAACTACAGCTAACGGATTTTAAATTCATAAAAAATTCGGTAATTAACTATAATTTAAATTTTATTATTATTTTTTTTATTTTGCAAGAGAAGAACTACTGAAGTGAGTATATCTTGAACCGTGTGTGAGAATGAGTGTTTCAGAAGCACTCAAGGAAATGCCTGCTAAAAACTCGAAAATATGATTTGCAGTATTCCCTTCAGTACCTTTCTGAAAGTATAAAGCACAATATAACAAATTTTATTCTTTGTAGTTACAAATAAAAAAGATTTTATTTGTAGCTTATTTTATTTCGATATCGCAATGAAAAGGCAGTCAAAAAGTGGTATTTAAAAAAAACAAAATTACGATTTTGACGCCTACTAAAATAACCCAATACTGTATAAACGCGAAAATGTATCTTTATAACGCATAAAATTGTAAAACTTAAGAATATTACAGGGAAATTTCAAGTATGTCACGATGACTCACAATTTCAGATTTTGAAATCATATGACGAAAACTAGTTTCTGCAACCCGACTCAACAATACGACCCATTAAAGTACGTGGTATTATGAGGGGCAAGCTGGCGTCAAACATAATGCTTACATAAATAATACTCACTGAAAAGAAATTTAAAAGTACTTAAATATGCAATATACTTAAATGGAAGACACAGAGAAAATTAATACAAAGGTAAAATTACGACGTCAAACCTTGCATATACAATGAGGAAAAAAAGGTTGGAAAAACCATTTAAATACTTACTATTCGGGATTCATTGTTGACATTACAATTTAAAACCTCTTCCTTTAGTTATTCCGACTGTACAGTCTTAAATTAATGAATTTTAAGGAATTGTCAAGTACCACAATATGAGCAACAAAAATGGCTAACACACCGCGACGTTTAATGAACCAAGGTAAGAGGGTGTATACAACGATGGCGATATCAGCGTGACGTCACATAATAAACGTGGCATGCCTGATACCTTGTGAGTAAACGATCGCCGTATGTAAAACTATACGAAATGTGGAAAAAAAAACTTAAAATGGAATACTTTCAAAAAACTTTAATACACTGTAAAACTTCAGATAAATTTGGATTATAATGCAAAATTCGAAACTAAGAATTAGATCTTCATGTAAGGTAAATAGCAATACTGCCACCATGAGGCGCAAAATACAATAAAGAGTAAGATTTACGAAAAGCTTACTCTTTATTGAAAGAATTTATTAGAAAAGATGAATTCTATATCGTGGTTTTATCTCGCTACGAACAGGTTTTGCTGGTCCATTTGTTACCTGCTTAGGAAGTGACACAAAAAAGGTCGGCTCAAAAACGTCGCAATTTTTTGGCGTCTTTCACTGCGCGATTACATCGGTGGGGATTCTCTCCTGCTCTCCTCTCAGGTAAAAGCGTAATGGATTTCTTTTCTCGTCCCATTAGGGGCTTCTTATTCAACTCTGGCTCTCTAAACCCGTAACGACTTGTTTTTATTTATTTAGCTAATGCTAATTCTTAATTATTTCATATCTCTTAACGATGAAGTGGAGATAATTGCTTATTTAAGCAAAGGTGCTCCATAACCCAACGCCTTGCACCTTGACCCGAGAGTTGAAGATCTATAATCTGTGGTTCATTTCAGGGAACCAAACGCGTGAGTTTTCTTTTCTTTTTTTTTCTTTTTAGTACTCATCGAAGGCCAGAGCTTTAATTTGATTAAAGTCAAAATAAGCATTCTGAGGTGACTATGTTACCAGAAAATAGATTTTCTAAACTGTAATTACCATTATAGTATTACTTTAAAATAGGCATTTCAGGGCTGTTGCTAGCCCCGTCCTATTTACGATCGTAAGTTGCGTCATAATCTGTTCATATTATTCATTTTTCGAAAGTACTGAGACTGTAATTCATTTGAGTCCTTTTCATGCAACGGAACGCGCTAAACGAAAATGAAGTGAAGGAAAAATTTCCTTTTTTACTACAGCTGTTGGTCCAATGGCAAGAAGTCAACTGGGACGGCGGAAAATAACACTTGTAGCAACCATGTAACGAACTTTTATATGATAGGATATGCAACGAAAAATTTGGTTCACCTGTTAAAAATAGTTAAAGCATATTTTTTATTGTATATACCAGCGATTCTCAACCGGTGGTACGCAAGACAAAAATAGGTGGAATGCAAAGAAACAAAATATTATTAAACTATTAAATTAAAAAATCTCATGAATTAAAAAAAAAGTTTGATAGAAATTTTCTGTAAATAACGCACTTGTTAATTCTAGGCTGAACTGAAAAAAGAATTTAAAGGCATTTCAAATAAAGCTATTAAATTTTTATCTCCTTTTCGCACGTGAAATATGACCAGACATAAGGCTATGAAAGCTTGTTTACATAAGCGGAGATTTGAGCCCAAGAAGTGCCTCTTCATGGAAATATTTTGCTAATAAAATTTTGAAGAATATTATAGCTTAGACTGTTAATTTATTTTATGCAATAAATGCATACATACTCAATTTATATATATATATATATATATATATATATAAAATGAGTGTCTTTATTTCCCCTTTGCCCTTAGCCATTGCCAAGTTCAAGCGGGTTTTTTAGTAAAGCCAGTGTTGGTTTTTTAGACTTTTTAGACAAGTGGATTCCTCTAGTTTAAACCTCTTAGTTCACTAACTACAACTGACTGGTGTAAATAGACCATAAAATCTAAACTATTTTAAAACAGGATTTTTCTTTACTGTGGATTTATATCATTTTTTCGGATTTTTTTAAAAATAATTTAGAAATGTGTTCAGTTTAGGTTTCTAATTCTTAGGTGTTTTTTTATTTCGTAACCAACTGTATAAGGATAATTTAAATTTCATTGGAATAAAATGATGAGTAATGAAAATGATGAATAATGAGGAACCGCTTTGTTCAATCAAATTTTATCATTTGGAACTATTTATTGGCAACATGTGAATTTGTTGACAAATGTTCTACATGTAATAATAGCAGAAGAATAAGTTAAGTTCCCAGATATTGCCGAAGATGTTCAAAACTCTCTTTAACAATTTTAAGTCGCCATACATTTGTTCTAATATTTCATCATTTTCATCAAGATTTTCGTCTCTAGTAAATTCAGCTGGTCTTGTAAGTAAAGACAAAATATGTGCGTACGTAATAAGCTACTTTTGGCGACTTTATGATGAGCAGTAAAAACGGGACTTACCGTCTATGTATATACTATACACTATATATTATTACTACATACATACTACATACTATGTATAACTATATATATTCTTTGAATGACCTGTTTACTACTCATCTTATATGTTTCGTTTTTACTGCTCATCATAAAGTCGCCAAAAGAAGCCAAATCCCGTATGCACTAGGATTAAACCGTGATTTTCACTATCACAGATGTTGCAGTTTAAGTATAGTTTAGTTCAGCGGTTCTCAGCCTTTTTACTAACGCTTACCAGTTAAACAAAAACTGAAAAACTCTAATACCAAAACTACGTTTTACATTGATTATTTATCAGTTTCTCAACACGAATATTAACAAATATATATACATTTTGCCATTTGCACGGCCTGTTGGCTTTTTGTATTAAATATACATACATAAAAATATTAGATTAAAAATTGCGGCACAGCTTTAGTATTAGTCCTTTTTGGCGAGAAATTTGTTTGGCGACATTTTGTTGCGATAAATGAAAAATTATGATAACCTTATTATTTATGGTAACCCTAAACACTGAGCTGAAAAACATGCCGCCATTTCTGTCCACCTAACTTGAATGAATTTGGTAGGTATTAGAGCTTTGATGGCAGGAGGGATAAGCTGCATGTTTTTCTTAAAGTTACTTTCGTGTTAGGCAAGCACAATTTAAATATTTTAAAAAAGCCAAAATTGATGTTAAACTTGATGCTTTTAATATGATCTTGACATTTTTTTCATGTGTCAACTCTGGCATATATAACTCCCCCCCCCCCCCCCGAAAAAATTAGTAGCATGAGGTAAACTCTTGGTGTTTCCTTCCTTTGCATACAATTTTGGACTTTTTAGATGTTTCTTAAAATGGGCAGTGATCAAAATTACCATGGTCTAAAATACCCTTTTTGCCTTTCTTAAATTAGAACTATATGGATGTGTAATTGCATGGAATTCATAGACCAAATCAGGTTTCATTACTGCTTTTATAACATTTTTAGATTTTTTTTGTAACTATAAAAATATAATGTTGCTTAGATTATGGAAATATTTGCTTATCAATTTACAGCTCTCAAATTTTGTAAATCTCGCATCAATAGCTGTATATGAATAACTTCACTGAGTATTATTACTTTTATTAATAGTATGTTGACATACAGTCCACTTTTATTTTAAATTTTATGCAAATTTTCTACATTACTTTAACTTTAATCTAACAGAAATCTGAATTTTTTGTAATAAAACTCTAATAAAAGTAGACTACAATTTACATATAAAATTGACTACATGGCAAGCCTAATAGATTTCAATGTCTTTAAATGTAATTATTATAAAGTTTAATTATTCTTATTAAGTTAAGATATAATCTTATTCTATTAATAATTAGATGTACAAACAGAAGGCCTTTGTGCTTCGACTTCAGAACCACTTGTGGCCAAATAACTTATGAAAACAAATTCAAATTTAAATTTAAATCAAATAATTTTGGTAGCCCAAGGCTTTGCAAAATCAATTTAAAGCAACGTGGTTAAAAACTTAACGGGCAGGGAATTCAACAGTCAGCAATTATAATGCAGGCTGAAGACTACAAACTTTTTTCTTATCTAGCAACCTATTAATGTGGCCTCAAAAGGCAAAACACGGTTTGTTTCAAAATAAAACTTCATTTGGATTCTGTGAGAACGGTGGACGAAATTGACAGTAAAGATCCAAAAATAACTCAGGTTACAAAATAAAGGAACATTACAATTACTTTGTTCCCTGATTAATTATTCAGTACATGAAATAGTATAATGCATTTTTTGCATCACATACAAATTATTTAGTTTATTTAAATGCTTTCCAAAACTGAAAGGATTTTGCAAACATATTGACCATATTTTTCGACCTATAGATGCACATTTCTTCTCTTCAGAAGTAAGATTTAGAATTAAGAAATAAGAGAGAATTATGAATAGAAAAAAATCATATGCTGGCTAGCAGAAGAAGGATGCCTTCATAAAGTATTTTTAAGAGAAACTGGCTCAAATTCACGTTACATCTACGGAAAACTACCAACTCCCATATAGCCAGCCTGAACTACTACTGTCAGTGGCTATCACTCACCACTAGTGGATTCCAATGACTGTTCGAATTTTTCACAGAAATCATCATTTACGATGATTGTTGTATTATTACCATTGGTACAAAATTTACTCATTATGATAATTTAATTTTAGCTTTTAAATTATAATCATAAATTACTAGTAATAATTGAGGGATTAAAAAATACACACTTCTTAATATTTTTTACCATTTACAATATTTATCATAAAAAATATTTCTAACACTGGTACAAAACTTGCCCATTATAATTGAATTTGATTTCCTTCACTTTGAATATTTTTTATTTTCTTTTAATAACAGAATCTAAGAAACTAAAGTAAACCATATACTAGTTTGAAATGCATTTATACCTTTTGTAAATTTCATTATTCATAAACATAAAAATAACCTTTTGTAAATTTAAAATATTAGCTAAGTACTAATATAATAAAATATAAATATGAACTAACTGCTTAAAATATTAATGTTTAATACATTATATTTTGTAATTAAAAATACTAACATTTGTAAATTTCATTACTCATAACATAATAATTGTTTATAAATTCATTTACAGTAGGTTTCAAGAATTTATCTTAGCAGTACTAGAAATATTGAAAATTAGAGTAAGAT